GAGGTTGGTCTTAGGCTAGGAGAATGTGAGTGACCAAGATGGTGGAGCTCCTCTTAGAAATGTGTGGTGCCCTACCTCATTCTTGGCAGCTAATTGGGGCCATGCTAACATGTTGAAATGAGTTGGTAATCTTTTTATGGAAATAGATAAGGTGAGAGATATGCACTCTCTACAACTAAGGGGTCCTTGTATTAATGGATCGGGTGAGCTATTTGGACATTACTTCCATCAAAGATATCTTTTCAGCTCCCAAATGCCCCTCATTTGGAGGGACTGTTCCTCTTTTGAGACATTTGTTCCCCGTAGCCTCAATTGTTCCTCTTTTTGGACTCATGTGTACATCCTTATACAAAATGTACTATTTTACTACCAAATGTGTTCTGCTGCACAAAACCTTTCATCCAACCTCTAAATTATTGCATTTATAATTTTGAAAAGCCAATAGAAAAGTAAAAATAGAGTTTAAAAAGCACTTGTGTGGTTTAGCCAATAATTTTCTCCATACTAGACCTTTGTGCTTTGTGTAACCAGGACCGTGGCAGAGACATGCCCTTTGCCTACATACTGTGTGCTAAAACGTGTCCCTCAACATTCCAGAAACTTGGGAGGTACGTGCTTTTAAGTGTTAGTTGGTTTGAATGGTATCTCATTTTGATAAGAGCCATAAAGAGAGTGTTTGTTCATCTAAAAAGTTAATTCTAGAACAGTACCACCTCAGTTTTTGTTAAGTTTTATTTTTGTTTTTTGCCATCTGCATCTTACTGGGAAGATTTCCCATCCTGTAAAGTGAAAGGAAATGTCCCCTTTGTTGTCACCAGACCAAGTTTCTCCATTGACATATTTCCCCTCAAAGACTGTTTTGGTAACAACTCAAAATTATGGATAGCCCCCCATTTTCATTCCCGATAACAAGGGTCAACAGGACAATCCAAGAGGGTGAATCTCCTAGCAGGGACACAGTAAGCAAAAAAAAAAAAAAAAACAGTAATTCTAACCACCTACCACGTTTTCCAAAGCTGAAAATGGTTGGGCTTTAGATTAACTTTAGGTGACTCTGTCTAAACAGCTTTGGCTAGAGAGACACATTGGGTTTACTAAAGAAGTCCAAGGCACTGATTGTAATAGAGCAGCATGAGGCATACTATATATAATAGAGAAGAAGACACTTTGTTTATTAGGCATTAGGTTCTGCATGGGATAGAGAGAGGCATTGGGCACTGCATGTTATAGAGAGGCATTGGGCACTGCATGTTATAGAGAGGCATTGGGCACTGCATGTTATAGAGAGGCATTGGGCACTGCATGTTATAGAGAGGCATTGGGCACTGCATGTTATAGAGAGGCATTGGGCACTGCATGTGATAGAGAGGCATTGGGCACTGCATGTTATAGAGAGGCATTGGGCACTGCATGTTATAGAGAGGCATTGGGCACTGCATGTTATAGAAAGGCATTGGGCACTGCATTTTATAGAAAGGCATTGGGCACTTCATGTTAAAGAGAGGCATTGGGCACTTCATGTTAAAGAGAGGCATTGGGCACTTCATGTTAAAGAGAGGCATTGGGCACTGCATGTAATTTGAAGCATTAGGTACTACATGTGATAGAAAGGCTTTAAGCATTGTATTTGATAGTGAAGCATTAGGTACTCAATGTAAAAGAGAGGCATTTGACACTGCGTATGAAAGAGGAATTAGGGACTGCATGTAACAGACAGGAATGCAGCATCTCATTTTTGGCATGGTGGGAATAAGCTTTGTGAGTTAAAACGTATACCTTACTGCTGGCATATATAAAGTGGAAGTGTTTGAATTGTATCCTGTTTGATAGTAATCACGGAGGGTGTTTGTATTTTCATCCAAAGACTTCCAGAACAAAACCTTTTTAATGCACCAATATCAAAGTGCATGGGGTAGCCACAACTAAGTGGATTCATAGTATACCTCGTAGTGTTCTGATGATAAATGGAGAGGAGAAAAAAAGCGAATAAAAAGCTACGCTCAAGCTCAATTTAAATTGTAGTCTCCATGCCTGCCAGACCACAACGCATAACATTTACTCTGTGATACAACCTAAGAGCAATTTCTAGTTTAAGAAAGCAGCGTCCCAGAATCCTCTAGGTGAGCCACATTTTAACAGGTTCTATGCCCCGAGGCTGTTCTCCATCAACAGACCTCTACCCACACAATGAACTCAGAGAAGATGAAGCAGCGCTGAGCAAAAACACAAATGGCAGCTCCTCCTGTCTGTCTCTCTTCTCCCTCTGCGATTTAGAGCCTGATGAAAATATTTTGATAATTCATTACCTTTTTAATGTGCGCCTGAAATCAGACGGTGATTATGGTAATGAGCTAAGAAGAAATAACTCGGAGCAGAGAGAGGAATTATTTTTTATATAGATACCGTACACGTATAATGAAAGCACAGTGTGTTTTCACGGCTAGGAACGGGCATGGAGAAAATGTTCTTCTAGCAGACAATACAACAGATGCTGTTCTAACCCTCGGTCATCTGCAGCTAATGGAATTCTGCTGTATATTTATGGATCGCATTGCATGTTTACTGTATTTAAATACAACCAGCTATGAAAGCAAGCGTTTTATTTTTTGCACGCAGATGCAGGTGCGACTTATGTAGCAGTAGCAAAAAAAAAAAAAGAGAAAATAAGGCTCTGGTTTTTACTGCAAAGGTGAGTTGCCTGATCGCATGTGCAGGAGATTGGGGCCTAATTGTATTTGACAGCATACGCTGCTTTAATGAAAATGTTTACATTACCTGGTATAAGCAGAACTCCATCTGTCACTCTTTTTAAATTTCATTTTTACCTCTGATGCCGCTTCATTTACAGGCTGACTAACAGCAGTCTAAGTCCCGCTGAGACGGCAGCGTGTTTGGCAGCCTATGTAGTCATTAACAATGACCAAGAGTGCATTTTGGAGTCTTTACAAGCATTTTCAAGATAAATTAAACATTTTTGTAACTGGTGTATTTCATCTAATTTTTTTATCTGTACTTTTTGTTGTTAAATAGCAAATATATTACCGTTCCTTGAAATCATATCTTTCAACTTTGCGGCATGAAAAAGAGGGCTGCCTTTTGAAACAAAATATATACAGTACAAAGGACACACCCATGCTATGTCCCCAGTTTATATGGCCCATGAAGAATTAATATAAAAAAAATATATATTTTGTTTATTAATTGGACCAGGAGCTTTATTCTACAACGTGCTAGTATGCACCACATATTTGCACATCATAGCAGACTTACCTGTCAAACGATGCCATCATGCGCTGCACTAGTAGTGCTCCCGCCAGTCTCAGGTATGTCCATCTTCTGACAGTCTTCCTTCCGGGTTCTGTCCGGTTGCTTGAATGGCTGGACCAGGGGCGGACTGACAACTCATGGGGCCCCCGGGCAATAGGGGATCATGGGGCTCCTGTGTCCTTGCCCAAACTCAAAAAAGCCTATGAAAAAAGTACCAGGGGCATCTCATGGGGCCCCCTACTAACCCCAGGCCCTCAGGCAGTGCCCGAGTTTCCAAATGGTCAGTCCACCCCTGGGCTGGACCATGATGATGTCACTCCCATGCATGCATATGGGAGTGGTGCCATAAATGCACACTGAGCTGCACCAACACAGCTCAGGTACATCACTGCTGACAGGCAAGAGGAAGCATTTTTGACAGAAAAGACCAGTAGGGACTCTTTTGTCATAAAAATTCTACCTTGAATTGAGAAAGAAGATGATTATTATTATTATTATACAGGATTTATATAGCGCCAACAGTTTGCTCAGAGCTTTACAATATGAGGATGCCTTGAAACGCGTAGCCACAACCCCAGATAGTTTCATGCACCATTACTTCTGGTCCCTTTGATTCCATGGATATCTGGCTTCCTGCTTTTGGTTGCTTGACACTACCTACTACCCAGGCAGCAGCAATGATTTCTGGACAGCCTTGCCTGTGGCACAAAAGAACTGACTGCTACCACCACTATATCATAACAAATATTGCCATCTACTTAAGTGAGCTGCCTTTATTTTGTGTCATTCTCATACATCCTATTGCTGCACTTAGTGAACTGAACAGCTGTTCTTCCATGTGCCTGTTCAAGCTACATCCTCACTCTGCACATAGCTGAGAGCCCCAACTGAGTTGATGATGGATGATATGCACATATTAACAGTTTCCATGTGAGTTGCCACTCAACTTTTTTTTTTTTTTTAAATAAATGCACGCACTGTACCTGCTACACTTAGATTGTGCATGCTTTCTTGTATAAAAATCCTACCTGTCAGGGGTTTTCATTTTCTGACTTTAATTCCGTTTTGAATACACCCACTTTTTTCATAGAGTTCAGTACTTCAGACCAAAAAGTGAGGTAACTTGTAGAACCCATTTGGTGCCAATGCCTATGCTGGGTCTAGGGTGCCATTTTTAGTTTTTGCTCATCTAGGGACCTCCATCTCTATCCTAGAAAACGTTATGGAGGGGTGAAGCCAGGGGGATGGGGATATAGACCTAGGTAGTATAATAGGGAAAGTAGTACAAAGGGTGAATAGTGTTTAGGCCCCTGTAGAAGTTCTAGGGTCTGCATTGTATACAGAATATTGTAGACTACCTTGTATGGGCTTTCCCCCTTGCCATGGTCCTCTTTCCTCGGTGAGTTATGCCAAGGAGCTGGAGCACTCTGTAACAAGAATCCTGGAGTTGCCATAGCACTGTATAAAACCAACCGTGTCTGATGGTTCCATGAAGCAATGAACTATTGCAAGTATTGTTGCTTTCAGCTGCTAAATAAAATGTTGTATGGACTGTTGGGAAGCTTGTTACCAAAATAAAGAAAAGTTTCAGCAAAAATCAGGCTGGACACGTGAAGAAATGAAAAATTCGATTCGACTGATTCGGCGAATTCGTGGACAATATTCGATTCGAGTCGAATAAATTCGCTGTGAATTTAACTTAAAAAAGGGTGTTTCTAGGCTTCAGAGAGACTTAATATTAGTGCAGAACACTGTACCTTTAATTTAAATGCCCTTGGAGTCTGCTGGGGAAGAGAAATAATACTGTCAGTCAGTATGACATGCAGATGAGTGCCGTCGATCTTAGAATCACCGCACACTTCACTCATTTGGGCAGTCACGGGGCCAAAACCAGAGTGTGGAGCCACAGTGTGGCGGTGGAGGCAGCAGCAATGGGAGGCCATACAGCACCCTATGACAAAAATGGAAACCACCAGCAGTGTGAGGAGACCTGAAAGTGGCACATGGCAGAGTGTGGCGATAGAGACAGCAGCAATGGGGGAGGCCGTACAGGGACCCATGACACACACTCTGGACCTGGCAGCAGCATGAGGAGGCGGTACAGGGGCCCATGACAGATTACGGGCCTGGCAGCAGCATGAGGAGTCGGTACAGGGGCCCATGGCAGATTACGGGCCTGGCAGCAGCAATGGGAGGCCGTACAGGGACCCATGACACACTCTGGACCTGGCAGCAGCATGGGGAGGCGGTACAGGGGCCCATGACAGATTACGGGCCTGGCAGCAGCAGCATGAGGAGTCGGTACGGGGGCCCATGACACACTCTGGACCTGGCAGCAGCATGAGGAGGCGGTACAGGGGCGCATGACAGATTACGAGCCTGGCAGCAGCAACTTGGACAGGAGGACGTTCAGCTTCTGCACCGTCGGGTGCGTGCTCGCAAACTGTTGTCTCTTGGAAACGGATTCCAAGAAAGACTGCTGACGGAATCCGTGAAGAGGAGTAGCAGGAGAAGGAGCATCTGAACGAGCGGAATATGCCAACAAGCGACAACAGGGGCCCATGACAGATTACGGGCCTGGCAGCAGCATGAGGAGTCGGTACGGGGGGGCCCATGGCAGATTACGGGCCTGGCAGCAGCTATGGGAGGCCCGTAATCTGCCAGCACCCTATGACAAAAAATGGAACCCACCAGCAGTGTGAGGAGACCTGAAAGTGGCACATGGCAGAGTGTGGCGATGGAGACAGCAGCAATGGGAGGCCGTACAGGGACCCATGAGAGACTCTGGACCTGGCAGCAGCATGAGAGGAGGCGGTATAGGGGCCCATGGCAGATTAGGGGCCTGGCAGCAGCTATGGGAGGCCCGTAATCTGCCAGCACCCTATGACAAAAAATGGAACACACCAGCAGTGTGAGGAGACCTGAAAGTGGCACATGGCAGAGTGTGGCGATGGAGGCAGCAGCAATGGGAGGCCGTACAGGGACCCATGAGAGACTCTGGACTTGGCAGCAGCATGAGGAGGCGGTATAGGGGCCCATGGCAGATTAGGGGCCTGGCAGCAGCAGCTATGGGAGGCCCGTAATCTGCCAGCACCCTATGACAAAAAATGGAACACACCAGCAGTGTGAGGAGACCTGAAAGTGGCACATGTTTGGGGCATGATTCATGGCGGATTTAGTCAGTTGTGTCAGGAACTGGTGGTTTGAAATCCAGACTAATCCACGCCTGATTCATTTTCACAAACGTGAGTCTCTCCACACTTTGGGTGGACAGTCGTGTCCTCCGCGGAGTTGCAATACCTCCTGCCGCACTAAACACGCGCTCCGATGCCACGCTACTGGCCGGGCATGACAGCCTTTCAAGGGCAAATTCAGCTAGTTGGGGCCAAAGGTCAAGTTTCGTTGCCCAGTAGTCAAGGGGATTGTCTACCTCGGTTGGCAGGGTGCTGTCCAAGTAGGCCTAAGCCTGTTGTTTGAGGTCCTGCTCCAGGTCCACCTGATGCTGCTGCTGCTGCTGCGGCTGGTGGTAGTAGTAGTTTCCTCACTGCGCTGGTGAAGAAAGCTACTCATCATCGACTGCAGACTGAGGCAGCCGCTGCTGGTGGAGCTGCCACTGCTCCTACCACCCCCCACCCCTCCCCTGCTGCCATGGCAGCGGAACACGAGCGCACAGGGCCCACAGTGTCTGAGGATGGACGTTGGCGCAGACAGGCAGAGACCAGCTGACTACATAGGTGTTTTTTATAGTACGTTATTTTGGCCTCCCTCTCAGCAGGTGTGAAAAAGGCCACCATTTTTGAACGGTAGCGAGGGTCCAACAAGGTGGACAGCCAAAAGTCATCCCTCTGTCTGATGGTTATTATTATTCGGCTGTCGCTACGCAAGCAACCGAGCATGCTATGGGCCATTTGTGCCAAGGAATGCGAGGGACTCCCTGCCTCCATCTCCACAGCATACTGCCACGGTGCGTCTAGGTCCTCCTCTGTCTCCTCTTCCTCCTCCTCTACCAGATGCTCCTGCTCCTCCACTCCTGTCCGCTGAGTGGAAAAACCACCCATTTCACTCAATAATTCCTGAGCACCAATGTCCTCCTCTACCTCCTCCTCTTCTTCCAGTCCTGCCCCCACAGGGGCCATGTGGCGTTGAGATCTGTGCGCCACGTCTACCGCACCCTGACCAGCCATTGTTAACAGCATTTGTTCCAGGACGTGCAACAGAGGAATGACGTCGTTCATCCCATAGTCCTGCCGACTCACGAATAGCGTGGCCTCCTCAAAGGGCCTGAGCAAGCGCAGGTGTCACGCATGAGCTGCCAATGGCTGACATCTAAGTTACACAGGGAGTACCTTTATCTGCTTTTAACATCAGGAAATCTGTGATGGCCTTTTGCTGTTCGTAAAGGCGGTCTAACATATGTAGGGTTGAATTCCACCTTGTTGCAACGTCACAGCATGAGGAGTCGGTATAGGGGCCCATGGCAGATTAGGGGCCTGGCAGCAGTTATGGGAGGCCCATAATCTGCCAGCACCCTATGACAAAAAATGGAACACACCAGCAGTGTGAGGAGACCTGAAAGTGGCACATGGCAGAGTGTGGCGATGGAGACAGCAGCAATGGGAGGCCGTACAGGGACCCATGAGAGACTCTGGACCTGGCAGCAGCATGAGGAGGCGGTATATAGGGGCCTACGGCAGATTAGGGGCCTGGCAGCAGCTATAGGAGGCCCGTAATCTGCCAGCACCCTATGTCAAAAAATTCAACACACCAGCAGTGTGTGAGGAGACCTGAAAGTGGCACATGGCAGAGTGTGGCGATGGAGACAGCAGCAATGGGAGGCCGTACAGGGACCCATGACAGACTCTGGACTTGGCAGCAGCATGAGGAGGCGGTATATAGGGGCTTATGGCAGATTAGGGGCCTGGCAGCAGCTATAGGAGGCCCGTAATCTGCCAGCACCCTATGTCAAAAAATTCAACACACCAGCAGTGTGAGGAGACCTGAAAGTGGCACATGGCAGAGTGTGGCGATGGAGACAGCAGCAATGGGAGGCCGTACAGGGACCCATGACAGACTCTGAACTTGGCAGCAGCATGAGGAGGCGGTATATAGGGGCCCATGGCAGATTAGGGGCCTGGCAGCAGCTATGTGAGGCCCGTAATCTGCCAGCACCCTATGTCAAAAAATTTTAACACACCAGCAGTGTGAGAGAGACCTGAAAGTGGCACATGGCAGCAGAGTGTGGCGATGGAGACAGCAGCAATGGGAGGCCGTACAGGGACCCATGACAGACTCTGGACTTGGCAGCAGCATGAGGAGGCGGTATATAGGGGCCCATGGCAGATTAGGGGCCTGGCAGCAGCTATGTGAGGCCCGTAATCTGCCAGCACCCTATGTCAAAAAATTTAACACACCAGCAGTGTGAGGAGAGACCTGAAAGTGGCACAGCAGAGTGTGGCGATGGAGACAGCAGCAATGGGAGGCCGTACAGGGACCCATGACAGACTCTGGACTTGGCAGCAGCATGAGGAGGCGGTATATAGGGGCCCATGGCAGATTAGGGGCCTGGCAGCAGCTATGGGAGGCCCGTAATCTGCCAGCACCCTATGTCAAAAAATTTAACACACCAGCAGTGTGTGAGGAGACCTGAAAGTGGCACATGGCAGAGAGTGTGGCGATGGAGACAGCAGCAATGGGAGGCCGTACAGGGACCCATGACAGACTCTGGACCTGGCAGCAGCATGAGGAGGCGGTATATAGGGGCCCATGGCAGATTAGGGGCCTGGCAGCAGCTATGTGAGGCCCCGTAATCTGCCAGCACCCTATGTCAAAAAATTTAACACACCAGCAGTGTGAGGAGACCTGAAAGTGGCACATGGCAGCAGAGTGTGGCGATGGAGACAGCAGCAATGGGAGGCCGTACAGGGACCCATGAGAGACTCTGGACCTGGCAGCAGCATGAGGAGGCGGTATATAGGGGCCCATGGCAGATTAGGGGCCTGGCAGCAGCTATGGAGGCCCGTAATCTGCCAGCACCCTATGTCAAAAAATTTAACACACCAGCAGTGTGTGAGGAGACCTGAAAGTGGCACATGGCAGAGTGTGTGGCGATGGAGACAGCAGCAATGGGAGGCCGTACAGGGACCCATGAGAGACTCTGGACTGGCAGCAGCATGAGGAGGCGGTATATAGGGGCCCATGGCAGATTAGGGGCCTGGCAGCAGCTATGGGAGGCCCGTAATCTGCCAGCACCCTATGTCAAAAAATTCAACACACCAGCAGTGTGAGGAGACCTGAAAGTGGCACATGGCAGAGTGTGGCGATGGAGACAGCAGCAATGGGAGGCCGTACAGGGACCCATGACAGACTCTGGACCTGGCAGCAGCATGAGGAGGCGGTATATAGGGGCCTATGGCAGATTAGGGGCCTGGCCCGTATGGGAGGCCCGTAATCTGCCAGCACCCTATGTCAAAAATTCTGAACACACCAGCAGTGTGTGAGGAGACCTGAAAGTGGCACATGGCAGAGTGTGGCGATGGAGACAGCAGCAATGGGAGGCCGTACAGGGACCCATGAGAGACTCTGGACCTGGCAGCAGCATGAGGAGGCGGTATATAGGGGCCTATGGCAGATTAGGGGCCTGGCAGCAGCTATGGGAGGCCCGTAATCTGCCAGCACCCTATGTCAAAAAATGAACACACCAGCAGTGTGTGAGGAGACCTGAAAGTGGCACATGGCAGAGTGTGGCGATGGAGACAGCAGCAATGGGAGGCCGTACAGGGACCCATGAGAGACTCTGACTCTGGACTGGCAGCAGCATGAGGAGGCGGTATATAGGGGCCTATGGCAGATTAGGGGCCTGGCAGCAGCTATGGGAGGCCCGTAATCTGCCAGCACCCTATGTCAAAAAATTCAACACACCAGCAGTGTGAGGAGACCTGAAAGTGGCACATGGCAGAGTGTGGCGATGGAGACAGCAGCAATGGGAGGCCGTACAGGGACCCATGACAGACTCTGGACCTGGCAGCAGCATGAGGAGGCGGTATATAGGGGCCTATGGCAGATTAGGGGCCTGGCAGCAGTAATCTGCCCGTAATCTGCCACCCCTATGTCAAAAAACTGAACACACCAGTAGTGTGTGAGGAGACCTGAAAGTGGCACATGGCAGCAGAGTGTGGCGATGGAGACAGCAGCAATGGGAGGCCGTACAGGGACCCATGAGAGACTCTGGACCTGGCAGCAGCATGAGGAGGCGGTATATAGGG